TGCAGCAGAAGATGCGTGAGAAGGGTCTATTGTTGGATGGCTGAAGGATGTCGTCACGGCCCCACGCATCGCAAGTGTGGAGCGCGATGGCTGTGCTGTAAGTAGATGCGCTGTCAAGGGAAATGAACGCTTGGGTCGGGAGAGACACTCCCCGTTTCACAAGGCTGACGGTTCGTGACTGTGGGGGCCCATGAAGATTGGTGGGCCAGCGAGCTAAGGAGCAAGCTGGGGGCAGTGGGGTAACACTACCTAGGTAGGCAGGTACGGAGGTACTTAGCTTGGCCTGGTTCCTAGACATTAGGAGCCTAGCCTACCTACCTAGCCATGCCACCTACCTAGCCCACACCTAGTCTACCTAGCACAGCCACTATTCAGGACAGGAGGTCGAGCTCTGACGTCGACCTCTACGTCGACCACTACGTCGACCTCTACGTCTGAGGCTGGGAATAGCACCAAGACTAGAAAGGGGGCTGTGTTGTGTGCCTCGATGGTTCACGGTGATTACCCATCTCGCGTCAACTCCATCACTGTACGCTAGGCCAGGAGAGTGCCGAGATTGGCACTACCGGCACTTGGGAACCTAGCAGTTCCTAGCTAGTAGCTACGGTCGTACATGCAAGTCACTCCAACGGCTCATGGCATCCCTCCTCTCCCGAAGCGCGCCAGAAGTTTGCTAGTTGCAGACTAAGTCGTCAGCCGTGTTTGTTCTGATCAATGAAAGACGTTTGCTTTGTTTGTTCGGAGACTCCGAAAGCCAAAGTATATAGCCAGTCATCCTCCCAACCATGGTATCGGGATTCCTTCCCCCTCTCTTGCCAATCTTTATCTCCGAGCTCAAGGCAGTGCTTGGTCGCCTGATCATCCTTCTTTCCCGCACCATCAAAAGAGGAAAGGAGCCTTGAGTCACGAGAACTATCTCTATCGGGCAATAGTAATGAGCCTCGGAGAATTGTATAGTAACTTATAGCTTTGCGCCCCTCAGCACAAAGCCCGAATACAGGCAGCTAGGCAGCCCCGCTAGCTGTGCTGTATATGGAACGTTACTTTGCTGATTTTCGTCTTATCATGAAGGAGGAACTTGCAGATAGAGAATCAGCTTGTCTACGCCACTGATCCTATTGGTTGTCACGTTCCCACTACCCCTATCTTACCTGGAGTGCCAATTTGGTAGATCTATCGTTCAAAGAAAAGCCTGCTTTTAGCCTCATTGCGAATTCCTGAATTGCTTTGTTTTTCTGTTCTACGTGCCGAAGTTACGGAGCACAACCTGGCCTAATACGAACCGGCTTTGTTGTCAATAGTCTCCCAATGAAACTCTTTTTGACGTCTCCATTTTGAGTCCTTCTGCATGACAAGTCTGTTTTCCATGGCTCTTCTCTTCCTTTAGCTTTGGCTTCATGAACCACATGCCCATGCCATGATTCGTGGCATATTCCATCATCACATTCGCACATGCTTCGGTCATCCCCTGTGAGTCACCGAGTTCTCCTTTTCTTCCTTAGTCTCGAATTGTGAAGTTTCCCAACAATGATGCTGAATAGACTCGTGAGTCCGTTTCCTGGATTCTCTGCAAGTTTCCGGGGCTTTTAATCCTATCTGGCACGATCCCAGCAGCTGACATGGCCCCAAAACAGGACCGAGAAGTGAGCCTGGCCTCCTTTCCAATCTTCGAATTTTCTGCCAGCGATGCAGCCTCCCAATCTCGAGTCAACATCTGTTGTATTAAGTCTAAGTCCATTTTAGACTCGAAATTTGAAAGCAAAAGAGGGAAAAGAGAATCAGTATATCCAAATACACACGGGAAATAGTTTCGCTCTGTGGAAATTTCAAATAAGCTGTACGTACGTTCAAGTGGACAGATACTTCAGCCTTCACTTATATAGTATATATCATATATCGAGAACAAGCAAACAAACAAACATATACAGCTCGCCAGATCAGATCTAGATTGCCTTAACTAGCTTCTTTGAATACATACAATACTTGGTTTCTGTCACCTAGCACTGTACTCCTAACCTAATACTCTCAGGACATTCATTATCACAAGTCCAGTTAGCGAGTTATATATACATAGATAGAGAGGTTGATATATAGATAGCAAATATTCTATTAGTAGTAAAAAGGGATATTTAATTTCAACATTGACATACGCACGTACCTGCAATCCTCGCATCTGTTTGATTCTCCGTATAGTATATACACACGGTATTCAAAGTCAATTATATATTCGCGGCTCTGGAATTCTCTTCCTGTATAGTATAGTATTCTATAGACGCACACATATCTATTCCATCTATAATCTAAAGACCCCGAGTATTATCCAAACCTATTATAAACTCTTCCCGGACTTGGCTTTTAAAAGTTTCAGAGCTGGTAAATAATATATATGAAATTCTCTTTTTGTTTTTGCTATAGCTAGACGCGCGCGAGAAAGAATTAGGAGGGGGAGGGAGGACGGGGAGGGTCTACTAGTTGTAGGAGTACTTATACCTCCCTGTATGTCCTTAACTGGACTTCTGTGCGGTGGTGGAGCTGGGAAAGATAGCTATAGAGAGTACGGACGAGGTAATCAGTATAGCATGAAATTAAAGCTAGGTTTTGGGTTTTGGGTTCCGGTCCTTGAATGGGGGGGGGTTAATTGTTTTCACTTGCGGGCTTGAATTGATATACTCGTAATATTAAAGGATCTAGGAAGTTTTTAGGGGAAGGTAGATACTATAGGTAGGTAGTCAGGAATTAAACAGTGGTTCTTTTATTCGTGTTGCAAACGTGCTGCCATGGCTTAGTTCTATAATTCTTAAGTTTGCGGATTATATGCGGATACTTCATAAGTTGTTTGAAGACACCAGGTCTCTAGTTAAGGGTGAGAATATATATATAGACCTGTATCTTACACTTTAGACGTTTTTTGGTTATTTTAGCTTCGTTACTAGATTAATGTTGTTATTGATGTCTATGGAAGTAAGTAGAATGCTACTAAGGGGAATTTAATATGTAGTGCTATGGACAACTATAGTCTATGTTCGCTTTTACTTTAAATGGATACATCTAGTTAGTTATAGAAGAGAACTTAAGGCTAGACCCTACCTATATACGAGATAAAAGGCGCAGGTTAGTTGATATATATAGTTAGCAGACGGGTTGACGGAAAGACGCTAAAGGTCTGAATAGTATCACTTTTAGCTTTTGAAAATTGTCACGAAAAATGCTGATCAGCTGCTTTGTTTACAAAATTTACCAATTCGCTGGTGTATTGGCCAATTCTATAATTGGAGAGTAAAGCGAAGCCGATTAAGAATCGCTGCCTTTTCTAAAATCCTTCCTCTTCCCCTTCCTCCCCGAGCCAATTCTTGACAAATCAAACCCACAAACGATTGAGTCTCCTTAGGAACTGAGGCTAAAAATCTTCACGCACTGGACTAAAACATATAAAGTTCTCAAAGCTAGTCCCGAAGAGTTGCCCTCGGCCTACATGTACAGCTCATCTTCTTCGCTGCCCTCCTCAAAGCCCCTACACCGCTCGCTCGCACATCCCATCACACCTAAAGCACTTCTGTCTGACATGAATCCATTCCCCAACCCCAGCTCCGAGGCCCCTCTCGCGGTAGAATTTCATATTTAGAAACCCCTCGCCTGGTAGCTAGTACATGTCCTTCTATCTTCTCGATTCCCTGTAAGCAGTGAGGCTGGAGTACCTGCCCGAGTAAGAGTTTCAATTTTATTGAGCAGGTTTCCAATTGACGATTCCGGCGCCGCGGTATGAGTTGAGGGACAAGGTCTTGTGTTGGGAGGTGAAAGTGGTTATTTCGCTGCGGATTTGGAAATCCGTTTGGGAGAGGGGTAAAAGAGGACCGGACGTCGGGAGGGAGCGCCTGATAGTTATGATGTGGGGGGGAGTGAGGAGTGTGTAAGTTTGGTAGCGGATTTCGAGGGAAAGTGTGAGGAAGGTGTATTTTGCGCGGTTTGGCGAGTGCCTGTAGGGATGAATGGGGGAAGACATGGTGGTTGGTTTTTAAGCCGAGAAAGAGATTTTTGAGAGCGAAAGCTGCGAGAAATAATCTCTGAATTTGGGGTTCTCAGAATGTGGGTAGTGTATCGAAGTTAGGGGTCCAAGGTCCTAAGCACTGGTTTCTGGCGATACATCAGCTAGTTAGCTTTATCTCAAAAAGCAACAGAAATTAGTTTTGACTCTCAAGAAATACAGAATAATCAGCTTGCTCCTACCTGCTCTCGCTTCATCAACGTGCGGAAATATGTCTTCAAACCTGTGCAGAGTGCCCCCGGTATACTAGAGCCTATCCGAATCCAACATCTAGCATCAAAGCTTTGCTCGGTCCACGCAGAGATCCGCCTGCAGATATACGACATACTAGTAGTAGACTTTCTCCGTAGCGGTTCTCGCCGCCAGTGTAGAGTACCAAGCGTTGCCTACAGTTGCATGTCTCTCTTCTTCGAACTGTGCGCCTGGATTCGTAATCGGGGTATCAGTCTTGTATACGTTCAATCGCTGAAGGAACCGTGGTACAATTGGGACTAAATTGTTTAGAGAACTCAGGACACGTTGCTCGAGGAATGATGATGGTTTGTTATTCATCGCGGATAGTTCGTACAAGAAATAGCTAATGGTGTATTGGAAAAATATGATGAGATGTGGTATGTGAGGGAAATCATAAGTGCAAGAAAGGAACAAGAGGGATATCCAGGCTTCTCTATATAATCAGAACAAAAACAAGCATCTCGAAACGCTTATTCGAGAGCTACTAGCTCCTTGATATATGTATGTAGGAGACTTGTCTCGGATGCTTCAAGTTTTCAGAATCAAACATAATATTTCTTGCACTTCTGAGACCTTGGCTCTAGTCTTAAAGAATCTTGCGAAGCATAACATTCGTGACTGAAGATATGAAAGGAAGATATTTGAAGCATAAGGTAATCATGAATCATTCAAGATGCTTGTTGTTGTTGTGAGAAGGGCCCTGTTGTGAGTTAGGTGAGTCAATATGGATCGACCGGAAAAAAGTAACGCCGATGTGTCATCCCACTTGACCTCAACTATTTACATACAAACTCGTATGTACTCGTTCCTACAACTTTAAGTTGTTGTGGAGAGAACCATCTTCTTTGTTGTTCCCTCCAAACCTCATCGATGCCCAAAAAGCGCTTCTCGACTCAATACGCAAAACCTCAGTCTACCGTCCATCCTTCACTCAGTTCATCTTCGAACCCCTCCACCCGTCTGTACCGACCCCACATACCAAACCCACCTACTAACATTTCTTTTTCTAGACAACGATGCGCCACCCTCCGTAAACGAGCTCATTTCGTCTCTCAGAAAAAGCAATATTTCAACAGCCTCAGCAGTCCCCTCTACAACCATAACCCCTACTCTGCCCCCACACCTACGCCAGCTGCTCTCTCAGCCTGAAACGCCTCCCCCTCCACCCCGCGTCCGCGATCGCAGGAGGATCGATGCGAACGGCAGGCGTCTTCCGGCAGGACCCGCTGCTCCCCGAAGTTGGGCACTCGCAGGATCCAGATGGACCCCATCGACTTCTGCGTTGAGGACAAGGGGAGATGAGCGCTTATTTCCTGCAGAAGTGGAACACCTCCCTGGGTTGCCCGCAGATGGCAGCGATGGGGGGCCGAGAAGGCTGGACAATTCATGCATGAGAGTTATTGCGCGTAACTGGGAGTTTGTTAAGGAATACGAGAAGAATTACCTTGCAGATTTGCCGACAAGGTTGCGGATCCTACTTTTGAGCAATATTGCGGTGTATGGACCGGAGGAGGGCATAGGGTTGGAAGGACTGAAAAGCCTACTTATTTTACCAACTGCTGAAAGTGGTGTCACAGTCAATACAGACCGGAATGAAGGATTCTACCGACTCGATCTCTCAGGCTCGGTCGGACGATCGGTCTCTTTCAAGCAGCTTTCAGCACTGCTTCAGAAATCTGAACAGCCAGCTGAAGATCTCGAGGACGAAGTCTCATGGGAGGAGGCAAGTATCTCTCGATCTCTCAGCCCGCCAATACCACACCTCACGCACCTATCACTCTCACATCCACCATCCACAATATCCTGGCCGAAATTCCTGACGTTTACCAAGCACATCCCAACACTTACACATCTTTCCCTTGCATACTGGCCCGTTCCATCCTTAACTCCAAATGCCAATACCACAGTAATGGCCTCGAGTATTAGAGGAGATATACAATATGGAGGAACGAACTTCTATTCTCACAGCCTCGATAACGACTTCCGTGAAGCAAGTCTGGTGCTACACAGATTAGCAAAGAGTCTGTATTCGCTGGAATACTTAGACTTAAGCGGTTGCGCTGATTGGATTCGAGCCCTTCGATGGACTAGTGATGAGGATGAATCAGGCGGGAGTCTGAATTGGTCTTCTCAATGGACCAAACTTCTGGCTCTCCGTGTTCATAGCGGGATAACTCTCTACAAGGATAGCAAATTTCCAGAAGTCGTGCGGTATATTTCAGCCGTTGAAGAAGCATTTGCGATGGAGGATATGCTCGCATATCATGCAAAGAAGGGAGTTCGTGTTGGGAGACAAGTTAAGTGGATTGAAGTTGAAAAGGATGATTGGACGGTCTACAAAGATCTTTGGAAAGAAAGGGACGATGGGGAGAAAAAGAAAAGAGATGCGCTTCTTACACTAGATCGGGATTATCCTCCGTGGCGAGCTGCTAATATACGTGCTGATGAGGAGATTCCGAGGGCGAGGCAAGTGGTAAACACAGCCTGGGAGGACGACTAGGAGAATGAAAATTAGGATGCGGAGCATGCTTGAACAAAGATATCTTGAACTTACCAGGATCAGGTATACAGATATAATCACTGGAATACACTCTTTTGTGGTGTTTCTCGCCGCGGCTTTCCACAATTTGGTATCTGTTAGGTTGGCAGATTAATCGTTCTTTAACAGCGGCATCCTTCTAAATTAAAGCAGCGAGATCTAATAATCTACTCGTACCGAGCCGAGCCGAGCCCAGTAACTATAAATTTACGAATTCAAAGACATGTAATCAAGAAGTTTCTTAAATATGTAGATGCTAAACGGGTTATATTTCCAGCTTCTAGCAGATACTAGTTTTGAGATGCTGGTGTTTGTACTTGAGTATCTGTTCCAAACGGTTCCTTAAGCTTACGAGCCGCTGACCTGCAGTCAGCCTCAATTTGGGGTCCATATGCACCATCCAATTTGGAGGGTCAGATAAGGCTACGAAGGTAACACATTCTCTCCTTCATTCTTTTCATCATTCTATTCCATAATTCGCGATACTTGCCCATCACTCATAGCTTGGGGTGATCGGCGCGTATGGACCCGGTGACCGCGCTGGGAGCCGCTGGATCAGTCGTCGGAATCGCGAGCTTTGGTCTCCAGCTCTGTCAGGCTCTATACCAGTTCACGGCCGAGGTACGAACTGCGGATGAAAGTTTGGTTGCAGTGTTAAGTGGAATCCAAGCTACGACGCTCGCGTTGAACCAGGTCCACGGGTTCTTGAAAGAAGAGGTCGAGCATCTGAGGACCAAGAACCAAGCAACATTCTTCACCCCGACATCGATCAACGCCGTCAAACAGACAGCCGACGAGTGCTTAGTCATCTTCTGGAAAATTGAGGCGACAATAGCGCATCGATCGCGTTCAAATATCGAGGAAGAACTAATAGCAAGACTAATCGAATTTAATGAGAAGCTGGTCAAGGAGGAAAAAGCTCCGCCAATCATTACGGATAAAAAATTGACGTCCATGTCAATATGGAATCGACTACGATGGTAAGGATAATGGGTTCCTGATATCTTACTTTCCTGTCCAATCGTGTTTCATCTGATGTACTTCGCCTGTTCATATGCATCTCCGAAGATAGAAGGATTATCTTCTTTCACTTTTAAGACCCATCAGGCCAAAGCTGACCCCCCCGTTATCCAGGCCAATGATAACTTACAAACTGGATCAATTCAACTCTCAATTGCAATCACGGCAAGCAAATCTCAACCTCATATTTACGGTGGTGTCTTTAGGAGCGCAACGGGTGAAGCCGTAGGTACTTCCATATCTCTTGCTTTATTATACTTACTCTATCAGTAATCACCGCCAAGAAGACTTGGAGTTTGTTGCACAAACATATGCCAAAATCCGTCGGATGGCAGCCCAAGGGGAGCTCCCCCACTTTGAAACCATTAGGGAATATCAAAAAAAGACGAAAGACCCTTACAAGCGCACTCGCCCTCGATTAGAGAGCCCAGCTGATGACAAACTTCGAGCTGATAGTCTCCCCATCGGTGTCAATGCAAATATCTTTCGACGATCAAGTCCCTCACCCAGCAGACATCTTTCTCCTTTGAGATATCAGCCTGTCTCCCCAAGAGGACTTGGAAGTTCAAAAGACTCTCCGGCTCGACGTTACGTTGATGAGCCTGAAATTGGGCGTTCTAACCTGTCAAAAATTACAAATAGGAGCGTCGACGAAGCTATTTTCGTCAACACCTGGGTAGAAACTGGCCTAATTGATCCAGTTGTTCAGCTTGATAAAGTTTGTATACTAAATTGCTTTGATATTGCATCAGCTAATCTTTCCATTCAGTCTGAGCGAAAATCAACCGAGGATTCTATCAAGTCAGAGACAGCAGCACCAAGTGAGTAAATTCCCTGCGTGCTAAACTGAGTAGAAGCAGCGATGCTTACATCTTATATAGATGCAATGGTCTCTGGTGGACGCTCTGAAGATGATTCAATACATCAATATGATGGTATTCATCATGTCTATGAAGAGCGGATCACTAGTCCGATTTCACCGACAGAACCTTCAAGTGGCATTGGGCACTCCTCCAAAGCAAATGCGCAAGACAATAGCCCAGCTGTTCCAGTTGATGTAAATGGTGTGGATCCTGTTGCAGAAAACGCAAATGAAGAGGTCCCGAAACCTAAAGACACAAAATCTGAAACTGTAAACTATGCCATGAAAAGTCCAAGCAAAATCTTGGAAACTAAGACGGTTGTGCTGGTCGAGACGGTTCAACCCGAACTGAAAATTTCGCCATCGTTGGTGCCACTACCATTTATCAACAACGAATTGCAGACTAGAGACAGAAACGAAGCAGATTCGGTTGCAAAGTCGACGGGAAGACAAACGGATCTTTCATCGTCAAGCGCTTCACGACCCGTGAAGGACCATGTGTTGCCAGAGACCAGCGCTGCCTTTGAAGTAAAAGACTCTTTTGCAGAGAGTGTAAGTACTCCTATCATTGGTAACATTTAGCTTGCATTGTCTCTAACCACTCAAAAGCCGATCCTTTTTGCCCCCGAGATTGTATTTGAAGCACCTTCCCAAGATGGGCTGAAATCACCTTCCGAAACCCTTTCGGATGTGACCGGCTCGGTTCCTGACGAGCCAGGTGACAACAGCAGGGCCTTAGTTCGATATGTTCGAAAGCAAAGCTCAACAGAAGAGCAGAACTCCGAACAAAACTATTCTTTCAGGCCTCCATATCAATCCTCGGAAAACGTACCAATCATAGAGGTAACATCATCTGAGTTCAAAAGAATCCGCCGAGAGAAAAAAGAAGAGAAGAGAAGAGATGATAGAAGAAGATGGGCAAGTCCAGCAAGTCAAACAACTACTAGTGAAGGTACTCGTGCTATGACGACTAGCGAGACATCTTCTCAAGAAAGGATTATTACTTCTCGGCTTGAACGCCTTGGTTTTCTTTTTCCCTACTTCTTCAATCGTCTCTTCCGCGGGAAGGAGATTTCTTACGATTCATCTTCGGAGAAAATTGTTACCAGGAATGAACGCACTAGGCTTGATTCCCGATTCAAATCTATCTTCCGTGAGAATGAAGCTACTTATAACGCAGCTGTTAGCGCATATATCATCAGAAATGGAGAAGGCCACCAAGTACCCCACTCAGGAACGTTGAAGTTGACCAAACAACAAGTCAAGAATCTAGAGTCTCAGTCCTCGCAACAGCCATGGTACAAACTTTTCGCATTCTTAGACGATGAAGATAGGGATGCTTTGAAGATAATTCTTTCGGGCGGAAAGAATAGTGAGGATTCTATGAAGAGGACAATCATCCATTTGGAGAAGGTTAGAGAAAATCGCTTGAAGTTCTGGAAAGGGAAAAACCAAGCAGTGTTTGCCTTGATCACTCATAGGTTTCCCGAAGTACCATCAGTTGGAAACTCCTCGTCCCACTCGCTACTGGATGACTTCTATCCCCCATCAATTGGGAACAAAGGAAAACAACGCCAGAAGTCACCAGCACGAAATACTGCGTACAACATTGCCACAAATACAGGACCAAATACTACACCAGAAGTACCTGGTGCGCCTCCTCGCCCTGTTCCCGATGCACCAGGCCTCGGTATACACCTAGGCCCAGCAGCAGCAGTGTCAGGACAGCAACGTATTCCTGGTAGTTTTCCACCTCCCCCGCAGCCAGGTGCTCCCCCGCCTCCGCCGCCCCTAAAGCAAAGTTCAATAATAATCCAAGATGTCTCCCACGGGCCATTTCTAGACGAGGCTACTTGCCGAGACAAATTGACTACTTATATGTTCTACGGTATTCGAAAGTCTCTTCGGACGTCTTCAACTGAGGTCCCAACGTGGGCTAAAAGTGACATTACGGAAGAAAAGCTATCGCAAGCTGATATTCTGAAGCATATCAAACAGCTCGACATGGGCAGCGAGACAGTGTTACAGAAAAAGTCCGAATTGGAATATTACCAGCAAAGACAAATTACGTATCTCTTGGATAGTCTCACAATCAAAGAGAAAGACCGGAACTTTGAGTGGCTACTCGCTCAACTTGACAGAATTCAGAAGCCGATCCAAGGCACAAAAGGCAAGCAAGAAACTATGGTCATGCTGGTGTTTCTAAAACGTGTCCCTTTACAATCGTTGAATGCTATAATCATACACCAAAATCTTGAAAGGGTAAAGTTAGGACCTCAACCAGGGCCCCAACAGAATTTCGTCAGATCTGGGCACCAGCAACAGCAGCCACAGCAAGATCAGCCTCCTGGTTCAAAACCTAGTGTTATCAAGATAGACAAGAAGTCATCAACTTCCAAGTCGAAAAAAAGGCGAGACGACTCGTCTGTCGATAGTGACACGGATAGTAGCGACTACACTTCTTCACTTTCCAATATCTCTCGAAACCTTCCAAGACGCTCATCAAGTCGCAGGAATAAGCGTTACACCGAAAGCCGAGCAAGAAGCCGATCACAATCACGATTTGGCAAGATCAGTACAGGAAAATCAAGACCGGGCGGTCCATCAACATTTCCTGGAGATGTACCTTCTGTTGAATCTGGTGCAGCAGCTTACGAAGTTGAGAAGATGAAAAGAGAGGCTGATATGCGCCAGTATGGGATGGGAAGAGCAGGCTCTGCTACGCGCCATTATTCAAGACCGTACTACGACTACGGTAATGATCCAGTACGAAGATCTTACATTCCCACAAGACCACGATACAGGGAAACCTCTCCAGCTCCTGTGGTTATACGTGAACGGAGAATTCGATCTCCATCGCCAATTCGGTACACTGAAGGGAGAGCACCGAAATACCCAGCTACTAATACAACGGCTCGAAATGAGAGGGGGGAATGGAGCAGCTTAATATCGCGCGGCCTGAGATGGGCCCGCTTGCAGCTAATATGCGATATGCTGAGGAAGATATGCGACTGGATATAAGATCTGGATTACAACGGTTTGGACGTATGTACTCGTTATGTTTATCCCAGTGATCGCG